AAAAAAAAAAAAAAAGATTGTAGAGGAAAAGCCATCATGGGCCAGACCTTAGTTAACCATAACTTTAGTTTCCATTCTTCAAATCCACCCCCACCCCTCTGAGAACTAGTTTGAGAATGTCTTACTAAATATGGGTTAATTTGATCCTCCCCATCCCCTCCCTCCCTCCTGCCTCCTCTGCCCCACACCTTGTACAATCCCCCCCTTGATAGCAACGCACCTTTGCCTCTTCTGAGACATTTGCCATGTGCTTGGTCTTGCACTTTCGTTTTCCTGATGGCTTTTCTGAAGTTTCAAGGCAGGTTGGCTCCTCCAGGTTATTTGGGAGGAAACCATTTGGTGAATCCGAGATCCCCTGGGCTTTGCTGGGCAAGAGGAGGTTCCTGTTCCTGAGGCGGTGCTCCAAACTTTGGGAGGAGGAAGTCTTCTGCTTACGGGCCTTTAAATCTGAAGGCAAGAAACAGGAAAGAATGGATATCAGAGAAATGGAACACAGAAAAGCAATGCCTTCCTCTAAGATGAATCAGAGGACTTTGGAGATTTGAACTGCAGTGCAAAGTTGTGTAACTATCAGCTATCGATATCTAGTGCAGCGCTGACTATACCACTAAATGCTTCTTGAATGAACACACTGTACTTCAACATCAAAGTCCCTCCTCTACAAGCAGGAGACAGCTCCCAGCCCTGCCAGCAGGGGGCGGCCCATCTGGCCGCCCCAAGATGAGGGTAATTTTAACAGGATTTTTCCCATAGCCCAGAGCAAATCAGAATTCCTTTTCACTTTTTTCCCCATTCCCTTTGTCTCTTTCTCCAGTCCTGTATGAAAGCAAATCCGATGGCGCTGCTGAAGATAAATATCAAGTACACGGGGAACAGGGAGGAGAGGGTAGAGGGCTGCCCTCATGGTCTCAGCTTTACCCACCTAACTGCCCCATTTGTCACTTTCCGAGGACACAAACATCAAAGCTACAGGAACTCCCTAAAACTAGAAAGCACCATGAGCCTACTTAGCTGGCAGTCATGGGCAGAAACCTGCTGCCCTTTCTGGGTGAAAATCAAGTCACTGGTGTCACTGGAACACACTAGCAACATCTCTAATTTAGCCACAGCTTGCTGAACAAAGCACATTCTAATTTCAAAGAGGCCTGCCGGGAACTCCATTATCAAGAGCTTCATCCCACAGGGTCTGTCCTAACCCCATGTGTAGGGGCGACTGATTGTTTGTTAGCCTCGTCTCTCAAGATCAATACTCTTTGGCTTGGCCATCAATAGTGTGACTGGCTGGCACAAGTCCTAATTGCTCTGAGCCTCAGTTTCCATATCCGTAAAATGGGGAGAATATAATCTACATCACAGGAGTGGTATGAGAATTAAGTAAGGTAATACATGCAAAACCCCTTTCAAAAAATGTTATAACAAGTAAGGCATCGCTACTGTGTTATTTAAGCACAAGCTCTTGAGGTAGAGCCATGCCCATGTGTTATCATCCCCAAAGGAATGAGCACCATGCCTAAAAATTGGTGAAATTAAGGATCTGAAATCGAAGAGTCCTCAATTGGCCTCCCCGAACCCTGACACGGGCTCTCACGTGTGACATTGCCAAAGGCAGACCCAGATGTGGGAATCATCATTCCAGCATGAGGAGTTGGCTCCAGTTTATGCACAGTTGCTGGAAGGCCAGCTGTCACGCCACTTTTCTCCCAGCTAGCTCCAGGCCACTACTGGGGCCCCACAACCTGTCTGGGAATTGCTATACTACATGGTCTCTAATAGCACTTCCAGCCAGAATGTTCTAAACTCGGGCTTTTGGTGCAACACATTTGGGCTGAGGCAAAGAGGAAGGAACAGAACCATGCCTTGTGAGGACCCCAGGAAACATGAGGAAGTCATATTAGTGTTCAGTGCTACAGGCAAAGAAATGACCCCCCACCTTGTTTACCCAGGGCAGGGCAGGCTCTGGTGTTTGTTCAGTTGCAGAGAAGTGAAGGCTTTATAGTAGCCCACAAAGGACTAAAGAACGGAGGTGGCAGGTGTGTGAGTGGAAGTGGTTCTTCCTACCTGCTCTGTAGGTCAAGAAGGGAGATAACCAAGACCGGGATGAAAAGAAAAGTCAGAGGGCACTGGGCGCTGTGGCTCATGCCTGTAATCCCAGCACTTTGGGAGGCTGAGGCACGTGGATCACAAGGTCAGGAGTTCAAGACCAGCCTGCCAAGATGGTGAAAGCCCATCTCTACTAAAAATCCAAAAAAAACATTAGCTGGGTATGGTGGTGGGTCCCTGTAACCCCAACTACTCAGGAGACTGAGGCAGAGAAATGAACCCAGGAGGCGGCGGCTGCAGTGAGCTGAGATTGGTCTTTGCCAAATTCCTGCATGAAGATGCCATTATCAGAACTGGACGAAAGTGACCAGACCACACGCCAAATCCAGCTGCCTCGAAGCAAAACCCTTAGAAACATCCATGGAGGAAGAACGACCTACTTTCCAATAACTAGAGCTGCCCCCAAATCAAGTAAGATGCCTTGATGGGTGGTGCTCTCTGCATTACTGGAGGTGTGTTCATGAAAAGGCTAGCTGGCTACCTGTCAATAATGCTGTGGAGATCTCTATCTCTGCATTGGATGGCAAACTGGACCAGGTAACCTTGAGGGTCCTTCTGGTTCCAGGCGCCAATACGTTCCACAGGAAGCTTCCATGCTAGAAAACCAGCTGCCATTAGAGAAGATTAGGTGATATACAAAAAGCTCCTCTTCATCCTAACACAAGTGGCTGAGGCCAACAGCTTGACAACTCATTCCTGACCAATCCATTATTGCTCTAGCAGAAGACAGATCTGTCACACAGTTGATGAAAATTAGCTCAATTATTCTCTTGAATGTAGAGATGGGTATCATACATGTATCTCCACTTAAACAGAGCTGGAAATGAGGTTAAGCCGTCTTTGCATTATAGCAAACCTGGAATCTACTACCCACTCAATATGGGGTTATTCAGTTTTAGCTAATAAGGAGACAGTGGATGTTTACCAGCAGCTCAGGATGAATACATTATAGGAGGCAATCAATTCCTGCTTCCAGGATAGAGGTCGGAGAATGAGAGTGAGAGACAGAGGTGTTCTTATAAAACCCAGAGATGTGCTTTTTGCTCATTTAGAATCCACTATAGGAATGAGCCTGAACAGTACTCAGCAGAACATAGTGATATTAGCGTCTTGTGACAGTCTGTGCCTCCGGGACGGTATATCACAGCATTTGACGTGGTCAGAGAAAGCCTGGTTTTCTCTTTGGGCTGCCTGCCTTCTCAACTCAGGTCCAACAAAAATGATGCCACTTTGGGTCACCTCAAAGCTTCACTCTGCTTCTGAATAATCATTGCGGCTTTAATGGAAAAGCAATGCTGTGCCCGTTTCTACTTGAAGTTCTTCTGTTGGGTTGAAGAACCGAGTGTACTTCTTTTTAGCTTAGAGGCTGCAAGCATCCCCGATGCCCTCTGTCTTCTTGAACCCAAGATTCTAGGAGAGAGAACCCATCCTCCCAAAAGACTCGACTCCCTTAAGCCAACCAGAGAACTCCCTGGTATCCAGTTGTCCCATGCCAAGGATGTCACCGAGGCCTTGCCCACCGGTTCAGACTTCTATAAGAAATTGGAGGGCTTGGGCCTTCATGTCTCCGCTCACCTGCAGGCCAGTCCGAACTCATTCAATGTCAACCCAAAGCCAAAGGCCCGAGGCTGGAGTTGAGTGACCCCCTCTGGCAGCTGGAGATCATAGCACCGGGTTTCTCTGGGTCCCGAAGCCTTTGGCTGGTGTAGAGACGCCCGAGGGTTCCCAGAAGCCAAACAAGCTGTGGCAACAGCAGTGCCCCCGGCCAGCCTTACCTGCTCTCCCTTTCCGCCGCTGCTCGTCTTCTTGCTCCGTCAGGTACTCCCCAGTCTGATATTTTCGGCTCTTCTGCCGTCTTCGTTTCTTCCTCTTCAGCAGGCCTTCCTCCTCATCCTCCTCCTCCTCATTGGTGTCCCACATTTGCCGGGCAGCCTCTGTCCTCCAGGGCATTTCTCGGGCTCGCCACAGGTGCCTTCGGCCCTGGCTCAGCAGAGACTTGTCCTGGGCATGGTGGCTGCGATACTGGGTGTCCCGTTGGGTCTTTCTCACCTTTCGACGCTTAGCCGGGCTGGGTGTTGCCTCCTCTTCTTCTTCTGTGGGAAAAACTTCCTGGCTTCCCATGTCACTGTCTGCCATGCCAGCAAAGGAGCTACAGATGCTTCCTGTGGACGGGATGTACAGAGGATGGTCAGGTACTTCTTCAAAGGACAAAGCATGGTGTCGAAGTGAATGCCCTGGACTAGGAGTTTGAAGGTCTGGGTTCAGGTTCAGGCTCTGCCAGTTATTAGCTGTACCCTTCAGGAAAGTTCCTTCAGTGCAGTCTCCTCATATATAAAATGGGGATACTGTTCTCCCCTTATTGACCTCACAGGACTGTTTTGAGGCTCAAACAAGATCTTTCACATATAAGTGCTTTACAGAGTCCGATACACCAGACGACATCAAGTATTAAAAACACACACCCTTACTCATCCCTGCTACAGTGTCACCTGAATTCATACCAAAAGCTTTTGGTTAGTTCTTACAAGGTGCCAAGAATTTTGTGAAGGGCAGGAGAGGGCCACGAGTCCCTGGGAAATCAGGGGCTAGGAGAGGGCAATTGGGGTCTCAGGCAGGGCAAGGGAGGACATATTCCTTTTGTGGCACCACCAATCCTGGGGACAGAGCCACCCCAGCCAAGCAGAATCATCAGAAGAGAAGAGTCTCAAGAAAAGCGAAGCAAGAAGGAGTCCCTTTCCTGTGATCTGTGACAGAGCCTGGTTGGGTCACACCCAAATGCACCCAGGCACACCCACTTCCCTTAAAATGACCCCACCTCCTCCCGACTTGCCAAGAGCTCAGGGGTGGAGCTTCCTCCCAGGCACCTCACTCCACCCGGTTGTAGCTATTCCTCACCACTGGGCAAGCGCTTTCCCCTCCTCCCCTACCACTCCAGGATGGATGGTACCTTTCCTGCCTTCCTCAGCCACCTTGCCAAGAGGCCATTTTCTCTTCCCACTCTTTCCTTCAACTCTGCTAACAACAAAAGTACATCCTAAATTGGTCTGGTTTCACAGCACAGGAGGGTTGACACCTTCCTCGGAAGCAGCTGTGAGACATTCCCATCTTTCTCCCAAGGCCCAGCTATTAACTCAACAGTCCCCAGACCCAATCGAGGTCAGCAGAAGAAAGAAATGGTTTGAGGCAAATACAGCAGCCCTTGACCAAAGCTCCAAGTTAGTCAGACTGCTAAAAGACAGCAAATAAACAGCACACTTTCCGTTATATAGACCAGGCAGAACGAAGCGTTCTGGTTAATCTAATATTCTGGTTAACACAGAATCATCATAGAGATCACAAAGTAATCACCAGTTTCCAAAGAATCAAATACAGTACAATGTATTTAACATTAAAACAGGACTGGCTGTAATGTACTCGCTTTTTGATGATTCAGAGGACACTTCAGGATTTTGCAAGGCCCCCAGGCCATCATTATGAGCCCCAATTACCACCTCCCTCGCCATGTGCTAAGGTGCCAGTTAACAGAATGTCAGATAACTGAGTTTACACTGTACCTTGCTTCCCCATTCTATCCAATTTGTATGGAAACTGGGTGAACTTGGGCAACCATCTCCAGCCCCGGATACCAGTGTGGATACCACCATACCAGAAGGTAGTGGTGGCTAGCAAGGGCTAGCTTTTTTTGGTCCCTGGAGGTTGATCAATACAAATTCAGGGGGCCAAATGTGATTCTGCCAGCCCTGATGATTCAATGACTTTTCCAATTTTGAGGCTGCCTATCACATAGGGCAATAAGACCAAGGTCGAAAGTTAAATGTCTGTGCCTGAGATTGGCCCCAGTAACGACGAGGTGCCAAAGCTTGGAGCTGAACTGGCTTTCCTGAGTGGCACAGGCCTTACCTCTTTCCACTGGCAGCTCCCAACAAGAGATGCCAAATCCCTGCTCTGAAAAGTTGAACAAAGAGTCCCCAACTAGTAGGCAATGTTTGAGGACTATTTGTCACCTGCCCCAACCCAGGACACTCTTATCTCTGCAAGGAGCTGGGCATTGTGGCACAGTGAATCAAATTCCCAACTTGACACCTGGGCCCATGGCAAAACTGCTCAACCAGATTTCAGCCTCTCTTTTCATAGAAGATGCCAAGAGGGGCCATCACCTTAGTCTCACTCACCAGACTGACTTCGCGTGCGGGTGCTCAGAACCACAGGGATAAAGTCACGGAAACTGCTCTTTGCTTTCTTTTCCAAGGAACCTGGAGTGATGTGTGGTTTGGGGACGGAAGGCAGAAATGTTACAATCAGAGCCTAAAGACCAGAAAGCCCACCTGTGAGGCTCGGGGGAAAGATCAAGAAAAGAGTTTGTGTTTATACTGCAGTTACTCTGGGTTTCATTTATTCGCTCCCCTTATGTGGCCATCACATATGTGTCTCTTGCAGGGAATGAGTGTTTCCAGCCCAGTGCGGTGGCTCACGCCTGTAATCCTAGCACTATGGGAGGCCAACACGGGTGGATCACGAGGTCAGGAGTTCAAGACCAGCCTTGCCAACATGGTAAAACCCCATCTCTACTAATAATACAAAAATCAGCCAGGCGTGGTAGCACGCCTGTAGTCCCAGCTACTCAGGAGGCTGAGGCAGGAGAATAGCTTGAACCCGGGAGGCGGATGTTGTAGTGAGCTGAGATCACACCACTGCACTCCAGTCTAGGGCACAAAGTGAGACTCCAACAAAAAAAAAAAAAAAAAAAAAACCAAGAATGAGCTTTTCCAGGCGGTTTTTAAAAACTGGGAGTTTGGTCACTTTTGCTGATACCAGAAAAGGCAGTGCATAGTATCAATCTGACGGTGTGACAGAAAGTAGGTAAGTAGGAGGCCCCACTGCCCATAGGACTCTGAGGCTGTTGCATCTCAACAAAGTTCTGCTGGGTGCAGTGGCTTATGCCTGTAATCCTAGCATTTTGGGAGGCCAAAGTGGGCAGATCACCTGAAGTCAGGAGTTCAAGACCAATCTGGACAACATGATAAAACCCCATCTCTACTAAAAATACAAAAATTAGCTGGGCGTGGCAGCATGCACCTGTAGTCCCAGCTACTCGGGAGGCTGAGGCAGGAGAATCACTTGAACCTGGGAGGCAGAGCTTGCAGTAAGCTGAGATTGTGCCACTGCACTTCAGCCTAGGTGACAGAGTGAGACTCCATCTCAAAAACAAAAACGAAAAACAAAAAGCACAAAGTTCTAACTGAGCTGGAACAGGTCCCAGAGGAGGGCAACCTCAGTGAGTGTTGGAGGACTGAGTGAGGCAGGAAGATGCGTACAAGGAGCAGCGAACAGAGAAAAACTGCTATTTAAGAATCAGACTGGGCGCGGTGGCCCACGCCTGTAATCCCAATGCTTTGGGAGGCCAAGGAGGGCAGATCACTTGAGCCTAGGAGTTCAAGACCAGCCTGGGCAACATGGTGAAACCCCATCTCTTCAAAAAATACAAACATTAGCCAGGTATAGTGGCACATGCTTGTGGTCCCAGCTACTCGGGAGGCTGAGGTGGGAGGATTGCTTGAGCCCAGGAGGTTGAGGCTGCAGTGAGCCGAGATTGTGCCACTGCACTCCCTCCGGCCTGGGAAGCAAAACGAGACTCTGTCTAAAAAATAAAGAACAGGCCAGAAGAGGCAAGTGGTGGTCATGTCAGATGGGCAAGACCATAAACCTGGACCCCTATGCTCAGGAATGCTAGGGATTCTCTCCCTGATAAGGGCACCCAGGAACTATTAGTGGCAAAACGGACAGGTTAGGGACACATACCAGCACCCCCATCCCAAACATCCTGTGTGTCCCTAAATGATAATAAATGTTTAGGATTCCTCTAAACCCTGCTAGCTAATATTGATTTCTATATTTTCAGAATGGGAGTTTTCCAGTATAACTAAAGGTAGAGAAGACAGTGTAATGAACCCCCATTCTGTGGTTTTTGTCTAAATTCTCCTTAAACCTGTTTCTTCTTTGAGCCTAGACCCATTGTGGGGAAATGGGTTGGCTACTGTGTTGTGGGCCTGGCATTTGTCCATCTGAAAACCACTTCCTTCAGCCTTATTCTAGAGCCCAGCGGGTGCAGAAGGAGCCCTGATCCCTGTTCGCTCACCTTAAGACTTGAGAGGGCTCAATCACATCTTCTTTCCACAGTGGAGAAGTCTCACTTTTCCAGAGTGAAGAAGTCAGTGCCTGAGCCCCTCTGCCCTCACCGTGCCCCGGGGATCCCTCTGCAGCCCAGCCCAGAGGGCCAGGGCCTTGGGGGGCCTACCTTCCTCGGGGCCGTCGGCTCGTTTTCCTGGAGACTGGGACTCCGGCTTTGTCGGCTTCCGGTGCTTGTGCTTTCCCCTAACTCCATTGTGCTCTTTTCCTGAATCTGAAGCCCCCCTGGGGCTTTTCTTGATGGATTCCTGGGGGTCACTGGGTGGCTTCCGGCACTGTGGAGAGGTAGAGGGTCAGGTATGGGGTCAGTTTCGCTTCTTAAGAAAGCTCTCCTGGGGTTGAACCATGCGTCCTGTTTCTGACCCAAAGGCATGAGCTACCTAGAGTGGGGGACTGGGTGGAAAGGGCTATGCGCTGCCTTCCACAGTGGGCGACAGAAGCTCTTTTGGACTGAGTTCAGGGACCCAGCTAATCCCCACAGGCGTCCACACCCCATCACTTTAAAGAGGTCTACAGAGTCTGTGTTCACAAGCCAGTGAATAAACACCCAAAGTCATTTTAAAAGGTGCAAAGTCAGGCTCCATACTCTCTACACCCAAACACCAATGGAGAGACCAGCATTAAACAAAATGCCTCTTCTGCAAGTTAGGAGACTGCATTGTTCAAATAACTTCACTGTGAATGCTATTGCACCAACAACTGAAAGTCATTCTCAGTATAGGCCAACTCAAGGAAACTTGTCTCTTCTCAAGTGTAAATTAATACCAGAAAACAGATTCAACTAAGGCAAGAAGAAAAACACAACACAGGAGCAATTCAAATATATTCGTATTCATAAAATCCAGTGAAAAGGTCCAGGCATTATTAATAATGCCACTTTATACTTTACGGCGCTTTCAACTTTTCCAAATGCTCTCATCTCTATTATTGGATTTTATGCTCCCCACAACCCTGTGAGGAGAAGCTAATGTGATCCCCATTGAACAGATCAGAAAACAGGGGCTCCAAGACAAGAGGGTAAATGACTTGTCCAGAGTAACACACAGCTCCATGTGTCCACTGGCTCAGGGACTGCCACCTACCAGGCCAACCCACAAGTTAGCATTTTCTGCTTGCAGTGAGAAAGACCCAGGACTTGGACTAGGACCTGTGGCTCCTGGCCCCAGCCTGGGCCTCTGGGCATCAGCTCTCGCTACTTCTTCTCCCTGAATTGCTTCCTTGGCTGCTTCAGCTCAGCTTCTCCCACACCTACTGCCTGGTGCCTAAAAGTCACATATTCTCACGAGATTTGAGGTCTCTCTGTGCCACTAAACAAGAAACAGGGCAATGTCGGGATATCCAGTATTCTAGTATCCAGGTAGTGCAGAATAAGCAAAACACTGGAACAATAAAAGCATGTCCTAGGAGGAAAGGAAGGGTTCAACCTGCTTGAGCTGTTTTCCCCTAAACTGACCCATACCTTGCCTGCTAGAAGGTTATCATGGTGTATCTCCAGCTAAGGGGATGGCACATACCTTACTGATGGAATATTTTCGGGGATTGGGGCCTCCTCATTCTCCAGGGACAGGGAGTCACCACTACCCCTCAAATTCCAGGACTCCTCCTATCCCATGAACTCCTCCTGCTTCTTATTTTCAGCAGAGACCAGAGCTGAAAATTCAAGTTCAGTTTTCCCCTTAGCTTGCTGCCAGTTCCTACAAACCAAAGTGTTAGGTGGAGGAAAGCATTGGGAGGAAAGAGGAACGTGAGGAACTGTTGCTTAAAAACTGACCTGTAGGGGCTGGGCGTGGTGACTCACACCTGTAATCCCAGCACTTTGGGAGGCCAAGGCAGGCAGATCACGAGGTCAGGAATTCAAGACCAGCCTGGCCAACATGGTGAAACCCCGTCTCTACTAAAAATACAGAAGTTAGACGGGTGGGGTGGCGCGTGCCTGTATTCCCAGCTACTTGGGAGGCTGAGGCAGGAGAATCCCTTGAACCTAGGAGGTGGAGGTTGCAGTGAGCTGAGATCATGCCATTGCACTCCAGCCTGGGTAACAGAGGGAGATGCCATCTCAAACAACAACAACAACAAGAACAAGAAACTGACCTTTGGGTATGGCTGGAGAAAAACTATTTGAAGTCAGGGGGAATCAAGTCAATGCATTTACATTTGAACATGTCCTATTTATTTCTGAATATCATTCTTAGCTGGCTCTTTCAAATACAGATCATTAACTTTTACTTCCTAAGATAGACAACAACAAGTAAAACAGAACATCTAGCAGGGCGCGGTGGCTCAAGCCTATAATCCCAGCACTTTGGGAGGCCGAGGCGGGTGGATCACCTGAGGTCAGGAATAAAAATATTTCACACACTCCAACTTATGCATGAAGTTGGGAGGATGTGGAGACCATGTGAGATGAATGTTATGGTTAACAGAGTTTTGAAATATTTTCCAAAGAACTTTCCAAGGAATGAGAAGACAATAAAATACATCCAGCAGCAAATGAAGCAGAAGTCTCTCTCTGCTGGTGGTGCGGAAGGCCCTTCAGGACCCCGAGAGGCCTTGGGCAGGCGGTGCTGGCAACAGGAGACTATTTTCATTCTTGGCCATGCCCTGAAAGGGGCTGTTTCAAATGAACCCATGATCTTAGTTTGGTTATCAACAGTTTCTTTCTCAGGAAGGTGGTACGTAACAAAAGAAAGAACAAAGTGATTTGCACTCCCAAAAAATAGACGTTTACTAAATCCTCACAGGCAGTTGTAAAGAGCTGCTTCCAGGCCCCTGATCCTGTCACTTTATTCTCTGCCCTCTGCATCTGACAGCGGGTCCACTGAACGGTTCATCTAATATAGGATGGGGCAGTGTCCACCTGTCATTAAGTCATCTTCAGAAGCTTCAGGAGAGGCGGGGCCCTATCTATTTTGTTTGTAATACTAATAATAACAGCAACCACTAACACTAACTGAACACCTGCTATGTGCCAGGTACTACACTACACACTTATGTATATCACATTATTTAATATTTTTTAAAATGACAGCTTTACTGAGATATAATTTATTGAGACATACCATGTAATTCACTTATGTGTAAAATTCAGTTGTTTTTAGTATAGTCACAAAGTTGTGTAACCATCCCCACTTATCTAGCTCCAGAACTTTTTTTTTTTGAATGGAAACCCAATAACCATTAAACAGTCCCTCCCCAATTCTTCCATCCTCCCCAGCCCTAGGCAATCACTAGTCTACTCTCTGTCTCTATGGATTTGCCTACTGTGGACATTTTATATCACCATCTCATTTAATCTTTACATCAACTCTATGAGTAGGTACTATTACTGTCTTGTGTATAGATGAAGAAACTGAAGGTCACAGAGATTAAGTAGATTGACTAATAGCACACAGTTAGGAAGAGGTGGGGCAAAATTCAAACCAAGGCTCTGTTGCCTGGCTCCAGAGAGCACAGTTCTCATCAATCTACCATACCACCCTCCCGAAGATGTATTTTCATTGCCTGGGAAGGACTAGCATACAGTAACCATGCAACAAATACTTGCAAAACATTCAGTGAAACATAGGCAGAGAGTAGAAGTTAGCCAGGCGCGGTGGCTCACGCCTATAATCCCAGCACTTTGGGAGGCTGAGGCAGGAGGATCACTTCAGCCCAGGAGTTCAAGACCAGCTTGGCCAACATAGCGAGACCTCATCTCTACAAAAAATAATTAGCTAGGTGTAGTGGTACACACCTATGGTCCCAGCTACTTGGGAGGCTGAAGTGGGAGACTGTTTGAGCCCAGAAGGTGAAGGCTGCAGTGAGCTGTGATTGAGCCACTGCACTCCAGCCTGGGCGACAGAACAAGACCCTGTCTCAAAAA